TGAAAGATTTATTTCTTTATGCATACAAGAGGTGAGGTGTAGCCAGAGGCAGGGTGGGGGGGTGAGAGGATTCACCTGAGACAGAGTGGGAAGCAGAATAGGTGGATTGACTGAAATACACTGCTGAGGGGAGCAACAGGAGAGACAGGAGAGGGCTGCTGCACCATGTGGGTCAGCTCCCTGGCCAGGGATAGAACTCATGCTGCAGTGGCTGCCCATAGCTTCATAGTGCCGAGACTTAATCCCTTGTACCACCAGGGAAGCCCTCTGCTTGGAATTTTTATAGAATATATAAGTACTTAACTTAGCATTGAAGACAATGATAGATAATAAGAGTACAACATAATATATAAACAACAATAAGCAATAGTGCTAATTAAATTGTTTCTTATATGCAGCACATAGAAATCATTAATGTTAACATTGCCTTACCACAGAGACACAAAAAAATGATTTATATCACTCAAGTTAAAGAAAACTGTGTTATCTGGTTTAATTTTTAGTTAGAAAATAATAGGATAGAATAGAATAACCAGTAAGAACAGAGCAAGTGGTCCCAAATAAACAGAATAGGAAGAACTATGGTTGTCTAAAATGAACATTCTTGAGGAGAAATCCTCAGTAACCTAGAAAGTCTGGGTTAAGTCAAATTTCATTTTGTTTTGATATTTTTGTTGTCAACTGCTTGAGTACTAAGCATTTTCATTGATCCGTATTTGAGTAGTGTCTCCTACAGTATAAAATTTCCATTGCAATCCTTTTTTCCCTGTTAATATTTTTCATCAAGAAAAAAAAAATGTGAAGGAAATTGTTGCTGGGCAGAGAGAGCATTGTGCAGGAGGAAGATTATTGACCTTGAGATCAGTTCAGTCCTTCCTCTTAGGAGCCACCTTACCTTGTGTTTTCACTCAGGTTTTCTGAACCAGTTTCCTAAGCAGTAGACTTTCTTATTTTATGTGAGCTCTAATCTATTGATAAAACCAGTGTGATATGTGATAACAATACCCAGGACCTGGACTACTATAAGAATCAAATGAGTTAATGTATGGAAATACGCATTATAACTTAGGAAACCCAATTTTGGAACATAGTTGGTATTCTATTAGTGAATAGAAAAAGAAATATTTGTCCATTAAAGCCTCAATGATACAAAATATTTAAAAGACAAATGCAAAATGTAAGCTTTTAGCAGACAGAAATGTTTTAAGTATGTTTAGCCTTAAATTTCTAGTTTTATAACTGAAAAGTCGTATCAGGAATCAGCTTCTATTTCAGAAAGGAAATAACCAGGTTATGGAGAGAAATCCATTTGTATGGCCATAATAAGCCACAGAGTAACAGAAATCAAGTTGCCCTGCTTGGCTACAGGCTTGACAAATGACTCCACTGCCAACTTTCCTCAATTTACCTTCTCATTTGTTTTGCAATCTAGATCATAAACTCTTTTTCAGCATGGTTTTGCTTCCACAGAAGATCTTGGTAATATAATTTTAAACATATACAATCATAGGCCTGTAGTTACTTTTTTCTGCCCAGATTCCAGATTCCAGGTTGGGATAAGACACCTTCTTGCCATGTTTCTGGTTACAAGATTTTTCTATTCCTCCTTTTCACAGACTGGTCAATCCTTTGAGGGGCCAAGGTAGAAGATAATCCATTCTTTTTTCTTTTCTTTTTTTTTTTTTTAAAGATTTATTTATTTATACAAGAACTGGGGTAGAGGCCAGAGGCACATGTGGATAAGAGAATTCACCAGAAACAAAGCGGGAAGCAGAACAGGCAGATGGACAGAAAATATTGCTGAGGGGAGCAGCGCGGTAGACAGGAGAGGTCTGCTGCACCATGTGGGTACTCCCTAGCAGGCTTGGAATCGAACCTGCGCTGCAGAGGCTGCGGACAGCTTCACAGGGCTGTGCTCAACCCACTGCACCACAGGGGAGGCCCCAGAATCCATTCTTAATCCCTACTTTGAGTTATGTGCAAAGTCTTTTTCCTCTGTGTAAATAAAGACTTCTTGCAGATATTCTACTTTGCATCTTTTTGTCAAAAGGGATGGTACAATGTGCTATCTTTTTGTGCCACGAAAAGACTTGCATTTTAAAACAGGAAGAAAAGGAAGACTTCCACCATCAAATTAAAAATTATCTGATATATATCAAGATAAGAAGATATGTTAAAATTTTCTGCCATTGATGTTTTCACTGCAAGTCACAGATGTCTAGAAAGGGAATATCAATAATGCTATATTAGTAACAATTAACAATGGGTGATAATTCTGTTTCAATTGAACATCTAGGCTACTCAAAAGCTTTTTTTACTATTATTAGAGTTTTGTACAGGATTCTGATAGGAGTTTGAGAACTTTGCCAAAGTAAACTTTAATCAGGGTATTACTGAGATCTGAGTGTTTGGATTTGCTTATGGTACAAATTTGTTCCAGTGCAAATGATTAATGTACATTATCTATGGTAGTGGCAGGTAATGATATAAAACATCTATTATATTTCATTTAATGTGTATTTTTTTTTCTGAAAGTTTAAGATTTTCTAAGATGACTTAGAACACATATGTATTCATATTATATTACTTATGCAAAATAATTTTAATGGGAAAAATGTAGCACACGGGAAAGAATCAGGATTGGCTAGGGAAGTGCTATTGTAGACTAAATCTTTGCTGGTGAAAATGTAAATACTTTGCTCAAATTGTGGCAAAGTCTTATCTTTCTCTTTGCGCTTTCAGAAGACTGAGTATTTCTACGCTAATATAAAGAATCATCTTTCTCATGAATTTATTCCTACTTAATTCCTTTCCATCTGAATTATCCTTCTTCCATAATTCACAGGTGGGTCTTGTTCAAGGGGAAGCATGCAGGAGCTATTCAATATACTGTTGGTACAAGATGAAAGCATGTTTCTTATGACGTCCATATAACAGTCACAGAAGTAAATGATAATCTCCACTCCCTCAGTTAGCAAGAAAGTGGCAACCTGTACCTAAGACAGGCTGAACCTGATGATAATAAACTACTCTTCACACTTTTGTTTCACGCTGCTGCTGCTAAGAGCTGAAATATATGTTCATAAAGAGCCATATTGGTATCCATGTCTGTTCATTCCAGTTGTACTAATTATTGTAATTATGTAATAAAATTAAATTTTACAAGCCAATTAAAGTAAGTGCCAGGGCCTCCCTGGTGGCGCGGCGGTTGAGCGCTGGGTTGGAAGCTGCCCGCAGCCTCTGCAGTGCTGGTTCAATACCCAGCTGCTCCCCGGCCACCGGAGGAGGGTTCTGCATAGTGCGCAGACCTCTCCTGCCGCCCGCCGCTCTCCTCAGCGCGTGTACTTGGTCCTTGTGCCTGTTCTGCTCCCCGTTCTGGCTCTGGTGAATTCTCTCACCCTCCTGCGCTTCTGACTGTACCCAGTGCTTGTATAAATAAATAAACAAACAAACAAACAAATAAATGAATGAATAAATGAATGAATGAATGAATGAATGAATGAATAAATATATCTTTAAAAAAAAAGATAAGTGCCAAAAAATAAGAAAGGTGTTCCTACGAAAAAGCTGTTCTTTTGGAAAGATATGCAGAAGATAGCATGCACATAATGTTGTGACATGAGTATGAACGATAATTCTAAATTATGAAAGGGAAATTATCCTCAAAAGATTTAGTTCTCAGGGGCCTCCCCAGTGGCACAGCAGTTGAGTGCTGAGTTGCAAAGCTGCCCGCAGCCTCTGCAGCGCTGGTTCGATTCCTAGCTGCTCCCCGACCACCAGGGGAGGGTCCTACATGGCACGCAGACCTCTCCTGCCGCCCGCTGCTCCCCTCAGCAGTGTACTTCGGTCCTTCTGCCTGTTCTGCTCCCTGCTCTGGCTCTGGTGAATTCTCTCACCTCCCATGCTTCTGACTGTACCCAGTGCTTGTATAAATAAATAAATAAAATCTTAAAAAAAAATTTAGTTCTCAGATGGTTTTATGATTATCTTTAAATAGGTACACATATTTAAAGAAATTGAACCTGGCGTTTATAGGTGAGGCAATAGAAGTATAGTTTATGAAAGCAATAATTTGTGTAACTCCAATCTGCAGATCTTTTCAGGGGAAGAAAACTTTGGCCATAAATCAAAAGATTAACTTTTCATTTCAAGTAAAAATTTTGGATACATTTAAATGATTCTCCACTGTGACCAATATTCTCATTTGTCTAATCAGTACTGGACTGAATTATCTAGCAAGATGTATAGGACTGGGCTATCTTTGGAAACACCCAATATAAGTACTAAGAAAAATGCATGTTGAGATGATTTTTAAATTGACCTCAAAGTCTGCAATTATAATTTCCCTTAAAATTGATTTAGTTGTCATACTAACATCTCCTAGAACTCCAGGATATAGCATTACTAGAGAGCAACTTAATATTCCCAAGAAACTTCTTCATTACTGCTACTCAGCTGAGGACTAGGAAAAGAAAATATTAGATCCTTAGCCTACCTACTGCATACAAAGCCTTCTAGAAAAGGTCAATTTGCCCCACACAGGTAACTGAATCACTACAAAAAAATAAAGATAAATATCTGAAACTAGAAATGAAGAACAAAGGGCATGTATAGAGAACAAAGAAAGAGTTTGTAACTTGAAAGAAAAATTTCGGTGAACACACCAGTATTTCTTGGGAGAAGAGGTTAGTTAATCTTCCAAAAATTATCTCACTCATTTTTATAAGCTGATTGAAGATGCCAGTAAAATGTCCTTATTTCATAAAGAAGAACAGAAGTTGACAGAAATGATAAGCTCTTAGCTTCGTCATATTGACAACTTGTTTTTCTGGATTCCACCTTAAGCTCTCTTGGGACACAGCAGTTGGCCTGATCAAGCCAGTTTGGAACCATCAGCTGTGTTTAGAAATCACTGTTGACACAACAACCTGAGTTATGTGGTGATTTCCAAAAGGTTAAATATTTCCTCCCTAGATTTTATAGAAGTTACCCGACTTGAAGCAGGCTGCCATGGCCAGCCAGTCTCAGGGGATTCACCAGCTCCTACAGGCTGAGAAAAGGGCTAAGGACAAATTAGAGGAAGCCAAGAAGAGTAAGTCTCTATTCTCTCTGACCTGTGAGGGGGTTGGTACAAAACGGATGAAGCAGGTGGGGTGGGATGAGCATGGACCTCAGGAGCAGGCAGACTCTTGGTTCTTCTGCATGCCTGTGGGAACTTTGTTCATTAAGACTTCCCTGTCAAATATTTCCCATTACTAGTGTGGGGAAGCTGTTCCCTTGAGAGTCATGGGCCAGTGAAAAGATTCTGGATATGAAAGTTATAGATTTAAGCCTTGCAACTTCCTTAATGTTGCCATGCCTCAGTTATGAAATGGTTGCAAGAGAGATAATTTCCCGACTGTACATACTTCCTAGTGAGTGTTCTGCTTCTGTAAAACAGGGATAATAACAATTAATAATTTATTCACATCCATCTCTTGACTGCTTTTCATTTCCAATATTTACAAATATTTTCATTTTTTTCTCAATTTCTAACATTCTTTTTTAGTCATGCACCTTTATATTTCTACATAAAATGTTCTCAATAAACTTCAACTCCCTTCCTGTTCTATTTGAGGTTCACAGCAACCATTTGAATTAGGTATTATTATTATTATTACTATTATTAGTATTATTCCCATTTTATGTATGTAAAAACAGAATCCATAATTTGTCCAGGGTCATATTAAAGAAAAAATAGAAGATACTGTGCCAGGCACCTTGTTCAGTGTTTATCTTTTTTACTCCTCACACCAACTCTGTTTGCAAAGGGAAAAAGTGATGCTTAGAGAAATTATTCATCTTACCCAAAGTCACACAGAGGACAAATGGTAAAAATGGGATTTGGATAAGTTCTCACTCAATTCAAAATTTTAACAACCTAGAATATACAAAATGTACATAAATTTATAATAAATAAATATTACAGATAAATATCTCAAACTCAGCTTCCCTGAGATAATACTCTATCCCATTTATATCACACTATAACTTAGCTCTAATAATTTTTGTTATTTACCTTCTTCCTAATTGTATGTCCTTCCTCTGTCATTATTTGCAAAGTCTAGCAAGACAGGGGCCATATCTTTAAAATACTCCTATGTACTTCTCTGGATGAATGCAGTGATAGGAATGGGTAGGTAGTGGCAGATGTTTATTTAAATGTATTGAGTCAGATGCAGGAATTGTACATCATAATATAAAAGAGGAAGCCAGGAGTGAGGCACTGCTCAGTTGACTGGAGTTTTAAACCACAAGTGAAATTATGTTCCTTTCTTAAGATAAATTGATTTCCTGAACACTCAGCAACGTGGGTACCAACAACTAAAAAACAAAGGGAGAAAACTTCATTTGAAGGGGCTAGAAAAAAAAAGGAACAAGGATAATGAAGGAAACATCAATTTATTTCTCTGCAACAAACCATACAATGATTTAAAACTGATTTTTGCAATCATTGAAAATGATTGTAAAATGCCATGAATATAGTCCGATTTTATAGAAAACAAAGCAGTGCCTAACCCACTGGTTGAAACAGTGTAGAAACTTCCTCACCTTTCATTCAAATTTCTTTAACCACATTTCAAACTTCCAAAACAGATGTGGCCATTATGTTACCTTGGCTTCCTTATTACAGAAACAACAAAAAGACAATATTAATCCCATATATAATCAATATTTTGGTACAACTCAAGTGATTTTCACAAACAATGTCCTCTTTCTCAAAGTCATTAGGAAAGAAAATACAATAAGTCATGCTAAGTGGAGCCCTAAGGATAATCTAGTGTCAGATTTCATAACAAAATAAAAGTCAAATTTGTTTTCATTTACTCTTATGAATAGGCTATCTTTAGACAATCTTTTCTCCAAAGTTAGTGTTAGAAAATACACATTGTATGATTTATATATAAGATGTTCATTTTATTTGCCAGTAACTTAAAGTATGTATGTATTTTTCTCCTTGGTATTTGTTCATAAATATTCAAGAATAGATTTGGAGAATGAGAACCAACAAGTCACAGTAGCGATCACATTGTAGTAGCTGTATGGTTATGGGGGGGGGGGGAGGGAAACTCACATGTTAATCATTGTAAAAAATATATTAACAAACTGGTAATATTTATGTATTATTTTGTAAAAATATTGATATAGCCTCAGATCCTAGTGAAGCTGACACATAATACAGTATGTAAAGTTAAGGGATACAAAAAAGAGGTTGTAGATCTGTATATCAGGAATTCTCCTGAAGTCTATTAAATTTGTGCAAATGAAATGTACATGTCTCATATATACAAGTGTCAAGACACCAGTTACTGAGCAATATAATGTTGGGGAAGGAGCCAGATTGTGAACAGGGTTGAAAAGCTGGTATGTGATGCAGCAGAATACAAAAACTTGTGTTGAAGACTTATGTTTCTTTATACAAGTTATTTAACCTCTTTGAACTTCAATCATCTTTTTAAAATAAATATATATACATAGATATGCATAGATAATATATATATATATATATATATATATGTTCGTACATACACACAAAACACCAAACTGTTTTAAAGGTGAGAATACTATACTTAAGATGGTAGAGGAGAATACAAACTAAATTATTATTTAATGTGTATATTATATATTTGTATATGATTATAAGTCTTAAAAATAGAAGACTAGAAGAGAAAAATCTATTTTTTTTTTTTTTACCACTGCCACAAGTTCTGGATTAAACTGTCCTATGAAGGGGGAGATCTGAAGTGCTACTAGGAAGGTGAATAGAAAAATTCAGATATTTTGCCTCTATTCACTAATTATAGATTAAATTATATTATTAGTTAAAAGATCCTCATTCAAATTTTAATGGATAAAATAGCCTTACTGAATTTAGATAGAATCACTGTAGGTTGACACTATTTTTAATGATCTTGTTCAATTTAATATCTTGTCCTTAAAAAATTGGTCATTAATCAAAATATAAAAGTGGGTATGTTGACTCAAGCCAAGTTACATTTTCACAACAAAACATCAGACCATCAGGGCTCCAGTTTGGGATATTGAACTGAATCTTTGATCAGATTGGACACTCTAGGTACTCTCATCAACAGTAGGGAGAAAAAACGTATTTCTCTGAAATAGATGATTAACTTTTGGTTAGGATCTTTCATGAGAGCAGTATTTTTTCATTTATACTCATAGCAAAGTTGGAAAACTATAGCTCTGCATTAACACTGTTTTTTGAAATGCTCAACTGCATGTAACTCAGTATCACTTAAAGAACCCATATTCCAGAACCATAGCCAAGTGTGCACTGTACCCACTCCCCCAATTAAAATTTGTCCAAATTGCCAGCTTTAGAAAATAGTGCATATGTTTAACCCAAAATTATAAGTTGCATTATGGAATATTGATCAAAGGATATAATAAGCAGGCCTCCCTGGTGGCGCAGCGGGTTGAGCACAGCACTGTGGGCTCTCTGCAGCCTCTTCAGTGCAGGTTTGATTCCCAGCCAGCCAGGGAGATTCCCACATGGCATGGCAGACCTCTCCTGTCGAGCCCACTGCTCCCGTCAGCAATGTATTTCAGTCGTCTGACTGTTCTGCTGCCTGCTCTGTCTCTGGTGAATCCTCTCACCCTCCTGTGTCTATGGCCTGTACACCAGCTCTTGTATAAAAATAAATCTTTTTTTAAAAAAAGGATATGATAAGCAATGTAAATGCTCAAATACATATATAGAAATTCTGAACAAATATATTAAAAATGTTTTTAAAAGCCATAAATAACGTTAATAAAAAGTGAGAACATACCCTCAAGTTTCCTACCAAGATAGTGTGGAGTGTTCACTTCCTGGAGTTGCTCTGCCAGGGAGCAAATCCCTTTTTTTTTCTATCAGTTGTGTGACTCCTATTTTAGTCTCCTATTAATTGTGTGACTTTGGGGAAGTCATCTTTAATTTTGTAGTGCCTCAGTTTCCTCAACTTCAAAATGGAGATTAATAGTATCAATCTCATAAAGTTGCTGTTATGATTAAGTTCATGTTTATGAAAGACTTCATGTATGGCAGACACTCTACAAATGCTCAGCTATGAGTATTTGCTCACTACTTGATAAGTACAATTCTGCTGAAGAGAACAGCAAAGTAGTAGAGTCCCACTGATCTCTTAATCATGGTTTTTTAGAGGTCCCTATGAATTATACTTTAGTGCAAATAAATACTTAAAATACTTCTACTTTCTACTTAGAGTACATGGGGAAACCAGAATGCAGATTAGTTTTTGTAGGTATATAGATACCAACCATCAATATTATTTTAATCAGCTAATTGCCTATTTGTTTTCAAATATATTTGAAACAAGCACCTTGATTTAATAAATTCTTCACTATGCGAGTGGATGTTTTGGTTCATGAAGACGACTTTTAATAAACTAATGAAAGAAAAGTTGTTATATTAGAATTTCATGACCCTGTCTTGGTGTTTTGTAGGCCTGTAAATACTTCCTTATTCTTTATAGTCCACAGGCTAATGGGGTATTTGTAAGTATATTGGGCTTTCATTTCTTTGAATAGGCAACATTAAAATAAAAACCACAGAACATTCTCATGAAGGCTGGTTATATTCAGCCCAAGATGTGAGGACATTTTTTAAAGAAGGAAAACACAAGTAAAGAAAAGCAATGGAAAACCCAGTTAATGGAAGTATGGAATGAAATAGATTTGCTGAGAAGAGGTCTCTAACAAATCCCAAACAAGAGGTTGCTTCTTTGTTTTCCTGACAGCTTACTACTTCTATTAATGTTTGCTGTAGGTGAGCAAAATAATAGCACTCTTTGAACCAGGTTGGTTTTTATCATAAACTAACAACCTCAAAACACCAAGAAGGGTCTATTTTTTCCTTCTTCATGGCAGAACAGAATAGAAATGATTATTAATAACATAAATCTCTAAACATTCTCAAGGTGTCCTTTGTTTTCATAGCAATTCAGGTCACCTCTGTTCTTCTGAAGCTCATTTTTTGGTCAGGTGGCATATTCATGTGGATACCTACTCATTCCACCAAACTCAGATGTC